TTATCCTTCTTTTATTCTTTAAAATAAAAATAAAAGGGGCTAGGGATTTAGTTCAGTGGCACAGCGCCTGCCTGGCAAGCACAAGGTCGTAAGTTTGATTCCTGGTACCGGAAAAATAAAATAAAATTAAATTAAATTAAAAAATAAAACTAAAAAAAGGACTACAATAACAGTTGAATATGGTGGTGCAAGCCTGTAATCCCAGCACTTGGGAGACTGAAGCAGGAGGATCGCTGCAAGTTCAAGACCAGCCTGGGCTACAAAGTGAGTTCAAGGCCAGCCTGAACTGCATAGTGAGAGCCTGTCTCAAAAAAAAAAGAAATACAATAACAAGTGCTAGTAAAGGTGTAGAGGAGCTGGAGTCCTAGGACATTGCTGGTGGGAATGTAAAATGGCCTGTGTTTGCAAACATTCTGGTAGTTCCTTAAATTGTCCAACACTGATTTGTCATATGATTCAACAATTCCACTCTTAAGCCTATCTACACGAAAAATGCAACTGTATATCCAAAGACTTAGACATTCACTACTGGTTATGACAGCATTATTATTATTATTATTATTATTATTGAGACAGGGTAGTAGTTCAGTTCATCTCCCTATGTAGTTTAGGCTGGCCTTAGACTCATGACGATCCTCCTGCCTCAGCTTCTCGAGGGCTAGGAGTTACAGGCATGTGCCACCATGCTTAGCCTACAGCATTATTCCTAATAACCAAAAAAGAAAGTGCAATCAAACTACAGAACCATTGATTACTGAATGGTGAAACAAAACATGGTACAATTATACAACAGAACACTACTCAGCAATAAAACGTAACAAAGTACTGACAAATTCGACACATAACAGAAAGGGTAAACTTCAAACATTTGCTAACTCAAAGAAGCCAGTCACAAGATACCACATCTTATGATTCCGTTTATATGAACATCCAGAAGAGGCAAATCCACAGAGACAAGAGTAGAGTATGAGCTGCCCCAGGAAGGGGAATGACTATGAATGGGTAGGTTTACTGGGGTGAGGTTGATGAAAATGTTCTAAGACTCGATCTCAGTGACATCACACAACTCTGCAAATACACAAAGTACGAGTGAACTGCACACTCAGGACTGGTGAACTTTATGGTATGTGTATCGTATCTCAATATAGCTTATAAAAAAGGTCAATGTTTTTATTTTCGTTATATAAATGTAAGTGGGAGGAAAAAAAGAGATCTGTGATGTCTATAGAAAATACACTTCCAGCACCTATACAATGTTAACAATAGTTAACATAAAAGTAGGCTACCAAAAGCTATTACTCAAAAGCAGGCATTTTTGAAAGTGAAAACAAAAAGTATCAGGCTAGAAGTTAAAAACAAAAGGGAGAAGGGCTGCAGAACAGGAAAACTTCTAATATCCCATATACCTACTTTTGAGTTTCTTAAGTCAAAAATCAGTCATTATTTCCCTTCAGTTTATGGACATTTAAATAGCCTCAAAAAAGTTTAATTTTACACCTAATCATCTCTTGTTATTTGGTGTGGTGGTACATACTTGTAATCCTAGCACTCTGGGAGGCAGAGGCAGAAGGGACACAAGTTTAAGCCCAGCTTGGGCAACTTACTAACTTAGCAAGACCCTGTCTCAAAATTATTAAGAACAACAAAATAAAACATGACACTCAGGAGACTGAGGCAGGAGGATTACAGTGAGTTCAGCCTGGGCTACGAAGCTAGTTCAAGGCAGCCTAAAGTGCATAGTGAGATCACGTCACAAAAAAGAAAGCAAGCCGGGTGTGGTGGCGCACACCTGTAATCCCTGCACTAGGAAGGCTGAGGCAAGAGGATAGTTGCGAGTTCGAGACCAGTCTGGGCTACAAAGTGAGCTCAAGGCCAGCCTGAACTGCATAGTGAGACCCTGTCTCAAAAAGGACAAAAAAAAAGAGAGAGAAAGGGAGGGAGAAAAGGAGGAAGGGAGGGAGGGAGGGAGGAAGGAAGGAAGAAAGGAAGGAAGGAAGGAAGGAAGGAAGGAAGGAAGGAAGGAA